AAAAAAAAAGAAAAAGAAAGAGAATGATTTATAGAGCTTTAATACATCCTAATTAAATTCTAACCTTAATTTAGACTACCTCATCCTCTAGCTTACAGATGACCTACTCTTTCCTTGGCCTCAACCTTCTTAACTCGGGGTCGTGTTGCTTCACTAGCATTTCTGTCTCATTATAAACTTCCAGTGGGCATGTTTTTTTTCTGATTAAAAGCTGTATCTCCTTCCTAAGATTTATTTGAGGATTTTCTCTAGCTTTCCACTCCTTTTTAGAGAGTAGATGACAGATTTTTTTAAAGTTATTGAATGATGAACACTTTGTCTGTCACCCTCTCCACCCGACAACTGTGTGTGAACACACGTATTCAGATCTCACTGGTCCATGTTTTACAGATTGAATTATCACTTGGGTCCTCTCCACCCCCAAAAGGAGAGTGACTTTAGTTGATGGCTGCTTTGTAATACCGAAATAACTTAAGCATTTATTAAGGCTCGGGGAGGTGGATCCTATCACCATATAAAATGCGGAAAACAACTATACAAAACCAATCTTAGTTGGCTGCCTTAGCCCAGATCAGAGGTGGAAAGGTTAAGTGTTGTTGCCATTCTAATGTCTGTTCAGGTACCACTTGGTGGGCACGCGGGACCAACGGTGCGTTGATGGGGAGTGGAGCAGTGCACTTCCAGTCTGTGAGTTGATCCAAGAAGCTCCCAAACCAATTCCACAGACTAAGTTTGAACGGGTGTTTGTAAGTGGTAGGCTTTTGTCTGTCTTGTTCACAGTTGTATCTCCTGGCACATGCTCAGTAAATATCTGTTCACTGTGGGATGTTTTTGAAGAGTTGGCCTTGGCCCGATTGTAGAAGAGGGATCATAAGCTATTAATTCGTATTTTTACATGAGAAGTTCTCATTCACCACCATCATCACAAACACCTCATGAGGACGTGTTGGTAAGAGTTACTGTCTCGTGGACTTTATGGAGCGAGTTTTATATACTCATGTCTTAGACTTGTATGTATTGCTGTAAAAAGTCTCTGAAATTCTTCTAGATTTTAAAAAACCCTGAACAGATCAATTTTCATTGAGATCCCTTTTATAGATCCCTCTTTTTTTTTTTTTTTTTTTTTTTTTTTTTTTTTTTTTTGTTATTACTGGGATAACAATAAGTATACATAAGCTAGAAAAATTTAAGTGATTCATCACGTTGAATACCCAGATCAGGGACCTAAACACTACGCATTAGCTTCGGAGTATATGGCTTCAGAGAATCTCAGTTCTTAAGCTGTAACTTACTTAAAAAAAAAAAAAAATTTCTTTTTCAGCTTGCCTTTCAGGAGACGAAAGACCTTTGCAAAGCCATGCGGAACTTTATGAAAAGACTCAAGGAAAATTCCTTAACGATGGAGGAACTAAAATATTTTCTGGAAATTCAGAAAGCCAAGCTGCAGCCAAAAAATGATGCCCTGACATTATAGCTGAGCAGGCTGGGTCATAGAAAAGCACCCTATGAATAAACCTTCTTCTTGGTTCTAAAGCCGGTTTCAGATTTTTCTCTCATTAGACTGAAACACAGCTTCACTGTACAGTAACCAACTGTAGTTGCACAAAGCACCTTGTGTGTGTGTGTGTGTGTGTGTGAGAGAGAGAGAGAGACAGAGACAGAGACAGAGGCAGAGAGAGAGTATGTGACAGTGTGAGCGGGTGTGTGCTGCTCTTATGTGGTGGTTGTGTGTTTAAGACTAGAATTTCGCAGCACATCAATGGGGAGTGAAGGATTTAATTTCCGGTCCATAAGGAGAATGCGAAGCTCAGATCCCAGCGGGGGATGCCTCATAGTTTAATGAGACGCAAATGGTGAGGCACAAAATAACCTCAAATTAACCAACACTTATGAGGCAAAAATTAACCTCTCAATTTGAGAAAACAGACTCCGAATAATTATATCCTCAAAACGACCTATTGAGACAAAAGTAGAGTTAGGACCTAACCTGCGTCTTCTGAGCCTCCCCTATATCCTGTTTACGGAACCACGTTTCTGAATCTTCTGTAGTAATATTGCTTACCACATTTAGATGAAACCCAGCCCGGCATCGGAAACTTGAGATGGTGAAAAATAAGTGAACGTATTTTCTTCTCCTTTTTTTCTTTTTTTTTTTTTTTGAGGGCAGAATAAGCAAGAATCCTAAGGTTTTCTTACCAAGATGTCATACTGCCATGCTATGACAAACTTCTCCCATCTCTCACTTTGTTCTCTTCCAAAACACATAGGAAACCTGGATAAAATACAAAGAAAACGCCTAAGAGAGCTTGAACTAATGGAACATCCCTCGGTGTAGTTATGAAGGAGAGTAAGACCTCAGAATAAGAAACTCTCAAGTAGCCCGCAGTCTATTAATAGACACAAGACGATAGACGCATATCATCCATTCAGGGTGGTTAGAATGTAATAAACACTTTTCACAGAAGAATGTGCCATGGGAGCTCAGCTTCCAGGAGGAGGCCTCCTGTCTGGGAGGAAGTGGAGGCAGGAAAATTGTTAAGAAAAGTCACGGTTAGTTGGGCCTTTAAAAGTGAGTAGGATTGGGGGGCCTGGGTGGCTCCGTTGGTTAAGCATCCAACTCTTGATCTCAGCTCAGGTTGTGACCCCAGGGTCGTGAGATCGAGATTAAGACTCTCTCCCTCCCCCTCTCCCCAACTCGTACACACACTCTCTCTCTCAAAATAAATAATTTTTTTTAAAAAACTGAGGAGGCTTGAGAGATGAAAATTAAGGAAGGGGACGTGGCAAGTTGAAAGAAGGTTTGGGAAATATAGCAAGAGAGTCGTAAAGAGTCTTAAGCTTCTGAACCAAGTAAACCCACTCCTCAGATTAGTCTAACTCGGGCAAAATGATTTTTTAATTTGAAGCCGCTCATTCTGTTATTGCTTATTCTGTCTATACTAGTGAGACCTTGTGAACACCTGAAATGTCAAATCTTAGGAAAATGTTTTAGTAAGTTATGGCATACCAAATGTAACGCAAGCTTCGATGGTGTTATGATCAGAAAATCTTAAAAATATAATCCTAAGTAAAAGTAGAATACATATTAGGTACTTATGGTCGCATTTATGTGAAACCTTTATTTTTGTAGAGAAGGTCCAGGCGCTAGCAAGGCACAAATGAAAACAGTTGTCCTAGGATAATGAACTTGCAGGTGTTGATTCTTTGAAAGTTCTTTCATGTTTTAAATTGATTTTCCCCCCTCTGCCCCCTCCCCCATTTGTGTGTGCTCTCTCTCTCTCTCTCTCTCTCTCTCTAAAAGAAAGAAAGAAGAAAGAAAGAAAGAAAAGTAAAGAAAGAAAGAAAGAAAAAGAAAGAAGGAAAGTTTCTAATAATGATTTTTTTAAAAATGTTGTGCAGAGGTAGGAAGGATGGGTCATGTCTAGGGGACAGCACATGGCCTGGATTGGCCTGGATAAAGCATGGGGAGTGATGAGAAAGAAGTCTGGAAAGATACATTAAAGCCCGTTTATGGAGGCTTTTAAAGAGCATGCTAGAGAATTTGACGTCTATTTGATAGGCAGTGAGAAGAGATAGAAGGCTTTCTTTCTTTTTTTTTTTTAAATAATAAAGTGCATTTATTTAAGTGTTCAACTTGATGAGGTGTTTTTTTTTTTTTTTTTTTTTTTATTATATGAAATTTATTGTCAAATTAGTTTCCGAGATAGAAGGCCTTCAAGAAAAGAAGTGATAGGGACCGAACACAGATTTCTCTCGTGACAGTATGTAGTATATACAGGTCGAAGTAGGAAAAGAACAGAGGCAGAGAAACCACATAAAGGGCTGCTGGAGAAGACAATGGTGATCTGAATTGGGTGGTGGCAGAAATAGAAAGAGAAAACTAGACGTGGGAGAACTGGGAAATCAAAAACAACTCCTCAAACTTCTTGACTCATCAAACATTGGAGGATGAGGGAGAGGAAGGGTTTAAAGCTGAGGTTGAAATTCCATTCCTGGAAGCCTGGATTGATCTTGGGGTCAGAAGGTGAGGCTTCTGGACAGGAAATGAGTAGTTCCCTTTGGATGCGCTCACCGTTTGTGAGTTCGAGCCCCGCGTCCGGCTCTGTGCTGACAGCTCGGAGCCTGGAGCCTGCTTCGGATTCTGTGTCTCGCTCTCTCTCTGCCCCTCCCCTGCTCATGCTCTGTCTCTCTCTGTCTCAAAAAAAAAAAAATAAATAAATAAATAAATAAAAAGAGGTAGTTGTGGGGGTAGTTCTCTTACAGGGAAGAGTTAAAGCCGTGACAGCAGGTACAATAATGAAATATGTGGAGAGAAAGATTTTTGAAAAGGAGAACCTGGGACATACCTATATTTGGGGATGAGAAAGAGAAAAGGAGGTAAGAAGAACGAAGCATTTAGTAAGAGAGAGGAATCAAGAAAGTTTAGGGCGATGGAAGCCAAAGGAGAAGTGTTTTAGAAAGGAGATTAGCAGCAGGATTAGGGGCTGCCAAGAAATCGTGACATGAGTTAAAAAAAAATTGAATTTGGAGATAAGGACATGCCTGAAAGAGCTGTGTCCACAAGTGTGGGAAGAAGTCAGGTTGGAAGGCCACAACGGGAGGGCCAGGGAGGGACTAACAAGAAAGAGCAGGCAGGAAACACAGGAGACCTGGGGAGTTAAGTATCTCATGACAGAAGATCAATGGAATTTGAGGTTTTTGCAAGATTTGGGGAATATTTCAGGATGAAAGTCACCTCGAAAATGAGAAAAAGAGCAAAAGAGATCTCTTCTGAAACAAGAGTGAATAGGAGAGAAAATCTGAGGTGGGGAGAAGCTGAGGAACGATTGTGTGGTAGAGTAGGAGGCAATATCGCCTGCTGAGAGGAAGACCATTTGGTGACTTGGAGAGAAAAATTTGGAGCAGTCACTGTGGAGAGTAAGGAAAAGCACTCCAAGAGATTGGGAAATGGTATTTTGAAGATTCCCCTTGAAAGGTGGTATTTCCTTCGACTTAGCTCTCAAGACCTGGCACAATCTGGAATCCTCCTCTACTCTCATTTCGGTCGGTCAACAAATCTGTCTCACCCTGTGACCTGGTTATGTTCTCTTAACCTCTAATAGCGTTCTCAGTTTCATCTAATATTTCCACTTTTCATTCAAAGCCCAGCTCAAATCTCCTACCTCTGTCAAAGCTTCTATGGTGGTTCGACTCCATCTTTTCTGAGAGCTTCATGAGACTCTTGGTGTTTATGACAGAAAAAGGGAAGTTATCGGGAAAAATTGCTCTTTAATAGCAATCTCCTGAGCACACAAATCTTAATCCTGAGGATTAAAACGTTAATTAGATAATGTCAGAGTTTGGGGTTCTTCCTAGATCTGTATGATCACCAGCATGCTGGCCCTTCATTGCATTTCTCTGAGCAGCACTCAATAATTGACCAACTTCTGGAAGTCATCTGGTGACCAGCACGCAGTAGTAGCTGTGGGGGTAGTTGTTAATTAACACGTATTGAGTGCTGATTTGTTCCAGGCAACTTGGCATATGGCAGGGATTCAGTGAATTTGTTAACCGCCTCCCCCCCCCCCCCCCCCCCCCCCCCCCCGCCATTTTACCATCTTGGGGTGGAATGAACACCTGCAGAGGGTAAAGTCACCAGTCCCTGAGCCCCAGGAGGGCCTGCTGGACCTACCATCGTGGGAAGTGGATCATTTTCGTGGACCTAGTCTCAACCCTACAGTATCTGAGTTTTCTAGGCTAGCTGGAGTGCACTGTGGATGTCTGTCTTGTGTTTATGAAAAGAAAAAAAGAATTCTGGCATCAAATTCATATTTTCTTTCCACTTAGGGGAAATGGTTGGCGGAGGAGCAAATAAGTGATTGCAACATGTTATCAAGGATGAGGGTTGGTGCAGAGGAAGAGGGTTAGGTAAACACCAGTGCTTTATTTCCGTTAATCATTCACGAGGCTGGTAGAAAGTCTCTCCCCATCCACTACAATTCAGCCATCCCTGACCAGTCAACTACAGGGCTGAATTCAGGGACTTTTTGGTGGTGCAATTACCAGCTAGCTTCAGGGTAGTCTGGTAAACTCTGATCTGGGGAGGAAGTAAAACTATTAGAGATCCAGACGCTTTTCTCCCTTGAGAAACAACCTGAGGCACCACAACAGAGTCTTCTGCTTCTTCCTCAGCTACCCGCAGGTCAGTGGATTATTTGGGGTACCTTGGGGAAAAGGCTGGTGGTTCGGCCCTTTAAGGAGGACAAGATTAGAAAGATAACACAAACACTTGGGGGTATTTGCAGCAGAAATCTTTCCAGAAGTTTTTAGGAGGTTATGTGATTTCACAAGTACTTTTAATCCCTCTGAGCCTCAATGTTTTTTTTGTTTTTACTATAAATGGGGGAATAATAATGCATATTAATAAACTAAAGCAGAAAGGAAGTAAGATGTCACTCTTGTTATTGTAGCTAAAGGTCGAGCGTGTTGGTTCATTGATTCTTTACTATCTGTCCACATAGGGGAGTTTAAGACTAGGATACCTCTGACAGGTAGACCAGACTACCCAGAGGGGTCCATAGAAGACCTGGTTTTTATAGTCTACCTTCTAAAAATTGGTGCAGTGCCCTTCGGAGATTTTATTAACCATTCCACGTCTCCTCCACCACCACCAGCAAAGAAAGACCTTTTGATCTGATGATGAGAAGACGTTGGTCAGCCTCCAGTTAGTTTCTGAAGCTAGACACCTTAACTGTTCTCACCTCCTTTCTCTTCCTCACTTTCTGAATCTGGCAATGTTGATTACCCTTCCTTCTTGAAATTTCCTTCTCTCTTGGTTGGGCAAGACACAGTACTATTCTTGTCCTCATTCCAACTCCTTGACCACTCTTAGCTGACTCCCGTTCTTTCGCTAAATATGGTAGTACAAAGAGAATGACAATTCAAGTATCCAGAGTGGGCAGAAGTATCAGAGAAGGTTTGATACACTTGAATATAATATGAGCACACAAGCAAGGAGCTGATGTAGATAAAGAGATTCTAGGAAAGAGGTGAAAGTGTGGAAGCTAGTTCTGGAATCTTAAAGTGATGTGATTGAGCGTGCAGGTATAAGCAAGGAGATATCAGCTGAGACCGAAGAAAACTATTACCCTTTCCAGAGGCATCCGAGTTTTAAAAGAGGAAGCGTAGACAAAATAAATACACATACTTAAAACGTAATCTCTAACTGAGGCACCTGGGTGGCTCAGTTGATTGAGTGTCTGACTCTTGAGTTTGGTTCAGGTCATGATCCCAGGGTCATGGAATCCAGCCCTGTATGGGGCTCTGTACTCAGTGTGGAGCCTGCTTAAGATTCCCTCTCTCTCTTTCTCTCCCTCTCTCTCTCTGCCACTCTCCCCGACTCTCCCTCTAAAAAATGAAAAAAATAATCTCTAATGGAAGGAGAACTTTGGGGGCTGAGAATTTTCCTAGCGCCTCTCAAATTGTACTGCAGTACGCCTAACAATAACATTTTTAAAAAAATGTTTATTTATTTATTTTGAGAGAGAGAGAGAGAGAGTAGGGCAGGGGCAGAGAGAGAGAGAGAGAGAGAGAGAGGGATTCCCAAGCAGGCTCTGTGTTATCAGCACAGAGCGCAGGGCTCAATCTCACAAAACATGAGATCACAACCTGAGCTGAAATCAAAAGTCAGTCACTCAGGGACACCTCGGTGGCTTAGTCGGTTAAACGTCTGACTCAGGTCATGATCTCACAGTCTATGAGTTTGAACCCTGCACCAGGCTCTGTGCTGATGGCTCATGCTGACAGCTCAGAGCCTAGAGCCTGCTTCAGATTCTGTGTCTCCCTATCTCTCTGCCCCTCTCCTGCTTGTGCTCTGTCTCTCTCTGTCAAAAGTAAACATAAAAAAAAAGTAAAAAAAAAAAAAAAGTCAGATGCTTAACCGACTGAGCCACCCAGGCACCCCACCAATGATATTTTCCACCACACACCTGTCACGCTGACTGTAGCTCTTGAGTTGGTTTCACTTTTATTGGAATTCAAAAGGTGATGATGTCATTGAAATGTGAGGATATTTACTAGGGAATTCTTACCTTTTCAGTGGGCAGCTAATAGAATTCCAGACTTCGTACAGAATGGAAAGATGACCTAAGTTTCCTGTCATCATTTGTGAGATGAGAAACTGACCCAAGGAGCTGACATGGCTTCTTCAAGATCACAGAATTAGACTGTGGTATTGACTGAGGCTCAAATTCAGGTCCTTGGCTCACAAGTCCTAGCCTCCAACCCCATCCTCTGTGGTCTGCTGAATCCTGTGCAGGTTCTGCTGAGGAACCACAGGGAGTAGTGATGGCAAACGGTGGATGCCACCCCTGGCCCACCGAGTCACCATACTCTTTAGTTCACTAAGAACCAGTGAGGAAAGTGGGCTCACTGTATCATTTATGTCTTCACAACTTGCAAAGCACTTCACAGATATTATTCCATTTGGTCCTCGGGAAGGCAGTTAATCCTTCTCACTCGGAAGGGAAAACTATATTGATTTATTTATGTCACATTTATTGGATAACTATTATGTGTCGGGTCCAATATCAGATCAGCACCAGGAAGTTGAACAAGCATCTTTGTCTCCAAGGGACCCACAATCTATTTTAGGAGGCAAAAGTGAATAGATAGTGAATAGATACGATACAATGTGGTATTACAACTGAGGCATCAGCAAAATACTAGGGGAGCCTGGAGGAGGCTGATATTTCTCGGTGGGGTTGGACAATTCATCATTAAGGAGGTGACATTTGACCTGGACAGTGAATTAAGAGGAGTTTGGAGGTTAAGCGCATCCATGCACATGAGATATTATATGCAAATGCTTGCAGGCGTTTCAATAAATCCAGGATGTGTTTTGGGAAAGGTAAGCACCTGCATGAAGTTGAAGTGCAGTGTTTTAAGTGAGCAGAAACAGAGGGATGTTTGGGAGAGGTATGGAAACCTTGTAAACGGAGGACCACAGGAGTTTTAAGCCAACTGCTTTTTAGGACTGTAACAGCATCAGCCTGGAAGCTGGCTTAGACCTGTTTGGAGGTTTCTGCAGTGGCCGAGGGTGGGTGAAGGGAATTACGACAGCCTAAACCCGGACTATGGACAAGGGTTGTAGGAGAGAGTGGCAGATTCTAGTGCTGCTATGGCCAACGTGATAGGACTTGGAGACTCTGAATATGGGAAGGGACAAGAGAGAGGAGGCTGGAATGAGTCAGGTTTCTAGTCTGGGCAGCTGCGTGGAGATGATTACTTTAGCTGAGATCTTTGACACGGGGGTCAAGTGTGTTGGAGAGAAGACAGAGGGTTTCATTTGGGATATGTTGGATTCGAGATGCCTGGGAGATACAAAGGAAGCAGTTAGGACTTTGGGAATTAGACCTTAAGCTTAAAAGAAAAAAAAAAAACAAACAAAGAGAAAAGAAAAGATTTTTGCTTCAGTAAGAAATCTAACAATCAGTTATCAGGGGCTGGACGGTTGAGGAAATAGGGAGAGCTTGGTAAAGGGTTATAAGTTTTCATATATAAGATGAAGAAGTTCCGAGGATCTAAAATAAAACACACGGACTATATTTGATAACACTGTATTATATAATTGAAATTTGCCAAGAAAGTAGAACTTAAATGTTCTCACACACAATAAAAGGATAAGTGTGTGAGATGGTGGATGTGTTCATCAACAAGATGGGTAGTGGGGCACCTGGATGGCTCAGTCGGTGAAGCATCTGACTTTGGCTCAGGTC